GACTGACAGTCATACTAACACCTTGCACATCTTGTATTCTTATTTCGTGTAATATACCTTCGTTATTTCTACTCTTGTGTTCGTCTTGTTCTTCCTTGGTCCTAACCTGGACCATAACACTTTTCCTTTCAGAAAAATGAATATATTTATGACAAAACAAGTTAGCATAACAATAGCTACTGCATTTCTAAACAATAGTATAAAATAAGTTACTTTCATATTTATTTTGATTCACGTCATATTTTTGTTCCAAAATCAGTTTCTGTAGTGTTTATATTTCATTATATCAGTTTTAAGGTGGATCATTAAAATGCATGAATAAAGACAAAAGGAAAACAAATCTTAACTGATTCGCTTCGTCCTCTAAGGGACTTTAACAATTTCTGAAATTTAAACATTAAGCAACGTAGATCCTGGTCAGTACCTGGATGGGTGACCGTTTGGGAATACCGGGTATGGGTGGTATAATGGATAATGGCTCGGTATTGGTAATGGGAGAACCGAGTTTCTATTTCCGTTGGGTTCATTATATTCACTTACGAGCAAAAACCCTTGGGAAAAGTATGAATCCACATCTTCTGCACCCGACCCCCAGCTATGCGTTAATTACTAAGACTTGATTCACTAAACCATTACTATTCCCGAAAAAAATTCTTACTCTCTAAATAATTCCCTAGTTTTAAATTATCTGCAAAGGGTTGATAAACCGTAGAAAACGAATCAACCAACAAACCTAATACAGGGAATAAAAATACAGGGTGCAATGGGTAAATTGTCGCCATTTTATATTATTAATTTCGCGCATGCGCGTTGTCTGTTTTTGATTTTGTCAACTGCACAGTATAGTAGGGACATTCTGGGAGAAAACGAGCACCATGACGTAATTCTCTCCGTCAGAAATTTGGAAACGGTATGCTGTACTGCTTGGCATTCGCACCAGAAGCTCTAATACAAACATTTCAAAGAGTTTGGATGTCGAACTGAGCACAGCGCAGAGGATTCGGAAAGAGTTAGGTGATATATCCAGTCAACATCGTGGTATTTGGAGTGATGTAATGGCGACGTTATGCCTCTATTCATCTTCCCACTGGGCCTCAGACTTAACACGGAGGCCTACGTCAAGTGCCTTGAGGAGGTAGTGCTGCCCTGGATCAAGAGGGTGGCTGCTGAAAGACCCTTTATCTAGTAATAGGACTCTACATCACGCCACACAAGCAAGAAAACCCAGTCATGACTCCCAGACAATTTCTTTAACCACATCACCCTTGCATCTGACCACATAACTCCCGAGACTGCAGCTCCTTTGATTATTAAGTGTAGGATGCAGTAGAAGGAGAAACCATCAAATCTCCATGTAACACCAAAGATGATTTGAAGGCAAGTCAGCATTCAGCAGCTTAGACAAAGAGACCGTCTAGCAGAGTTGCAGGAGATTCTGAAATTGTCTGGGGGCTGTGGTGGAAGCCAATGTGATCTTATTGAATAAATTCACTCTTTAGTATTTCAAGATATTTTTGTGTAATTTTGGTAAATATATCTGTTAAAATGAGATGTCAGTAAAATTTTCATTTTTAGACGACAATTTATCCATTGTACCCTGTATACCTGTTGAAATGAGATGTCAGTGTTACTTTCATTTTGGCGTTACTTAGACGACAATTCATCCATCGCACCTTGTATATCTGATAAAATGAGATGTCAGTTTTATTATCATTTTTGTGTCATTTAGACGACAATTTATCCATCGCACCCTGTATATCTGATTAAAATGAGATGTCAGTGTTATATTCATTTTTGCGTCATTTAGACGACAATTTACCAATCGCACTCTGTATACCTGTTGAAATGAGATGTTAGTTTTATGTTCATTTTTGCGTCAATTTATCCATCGCACCTTGTTATAGGTATTATTCGTATTTAGGTATTCTGGATCCTTCCTAAACTGCATTTGAAATCATTGAAGTAAAGCAATGGCAATATGCTAAGCTCTATATCGCAAAGATAATCTTGACATATTCTATATAAAGATAAAAGAAGGCGGAAGACGACTAATTAATATTAAAACGATTGATTGTCCGATGAAAAATAGTTACGCAAGTGATGAGAAAAATAAAAATGACAGCCATTAAAAATACAAAGCAACTGACAAAAAGGTGAGAGATGCAGAAAAAGAGAAAAGCTACATAACTAAAACTCGAAGCTAAAGAAAGTAAAGTGACACAAAGGATTTTTTTAAAAAAAATACAGAAAAGGGAATCCACTGACAATATGATCTGGGCATGGATAAACAGAGGACATCTGAAAAGAGAACAATCACCTAATATAGCAACGTAAAACAAGTAAAACCTATTACGCTAAGGTGAACATTGATGCAATCCGACAATACAGAAAGATGGATATGTTTGCGCGGGGGACATTTGAGAAGAGAAAAACAATTTACAAAGCATAAATTTAGAAAGAGAAAGATTACAAAAATAAATAAATAAATAAATAAAAATAATCATGTAATAGTTGAATACTGAAGAAATGGATAAAAGCTGTGGTAAATAGAAGCAAGATGTTGGTGTCCATAATTACTAGCATGCTGATTAGGATGCACGCCAAAGCGAAGACTCTTCAGATAACGATAGTTTTGGAACTGTATTCTGAGCAGAATTTATAAGAGCCGAGGAGAATTGAGAATTTACCCCAAACAAAGCAATAATGCCACTATGGCGCAAGTGACTGCTGGGATTGATAGAGAATATGAAAGGGCATTGTAGGGAACCAGATAGCCAATCCTAAACAGGAAACTAGGGATAAATCTCTACTCCAGTTCAAAAAACCGGAGAGGACTCAAAAAATAGTAGTAAATAGCAGCTCGGGCTGGTGTGATGAGGCAAATAATAATATTGTATATTTCCGCGTATAAGGCGACTTTTAAATAAGACGAGTTCAAAAAATATATCAAATTTTCATGAATTTATCCTATATCTGTAGTATAAGACGACTGCTTATAGATTCTATAAATATCTATGATATTATTGGAAATGGTGTTACATACTGAATCCATAGAAATTCAAAATAAACGAAATAACAAAACCAATTCTAGATCAAGTTCTTCCTAAAGATATCCCCTAAAAGAAAAACCATTGTTTTGATTACATTTCATCACGTGATCTCTTATAAATACTGATTATTCTTCTTCCTCTTCTTTTCCTATATCTAAATAGTTACAAACAGCCTGGTGTACTAATGACCATTTATTTATACTTCATCAACAACCACAAGATACTGTTAATAACAGTACAATAATGTATGATAATAGTATATTCCACTTTCAACATTTTTTTCAGTCTGTTCCTAAATTCTGTCTAAGGCAGTTGAAAGTTTAGCAAAAGATAAAAAGCTGCTGAAAATGAACTTGATGTTTACATTTTCTCAGCTGTTATTGCATGGATACAAGTTGATTTCATTGATATGGAATTTATCCTATACCTGTAGTATAAAACGGCTATTTATTGAGTATATAAAGATAATGTTATTGGAAATGTTGTTACTTACTGTATCCTTAGAAATTCAAAATAAACGAAATAACAAAACCGATTCTACAGAGTGCCATGTGTAAATTGTCGCCATTTTATATTTTTAATTTTGCGCATGCGTGTTGCATGTTTTCTTGCTTCGTGCCTCAGTTACGTTTTTCACACTGGCGTTCGAGTGCAGGTAAAATCCGTAATTTTGAATACTGATTTTCAAGATAGGCAGCCCCTACCCAGTTGGAAAATTGGCAACAACAAAACCTCCCTACTCCTTACGATTGTGCTTTATTAAACAAAACTTATCATTAAAGAAAATAGAAATAGGAACTGTAAAAGCAGTTCGTTGCCTGAGTGGGGGCTGCCGCCAAAAAATCATTTACTCCTTCCATCTGGGAAAAAAAGCTGTGAACTCATTTTAATGTACATATTCCTACTCGCTCCTACCCTTTACAAACACAATACTAAAAAATCTCTGGCGACGGGCCTGTATAAAAGTCAAAACAAATGAACCTAATTTTTAAAAAATCATTTTCAACCCAAGCAAGGCAATAAAGCCACTGAGACGTAAATGGTTACTGAGTATTATAGAATATGAGAAAAAGGTTAAGGAGTGAGAACAATAAAAGAACAAGACTTAAGAAAACAGAAGATAACGACTGATACATTCGTAAAAATGGCTTCCTTTTCTCAGTAAAATTCTGTCTTAATAAATTTTGATTCAACATATTCTATTTTTTAAAAATAAAACTTAAAAAACTATTTATCGATTGTTGAAAGACAATTTTTATTATTAATATTTGAAAAATCACATTTATTGATTTGATATGAGTTTCGTGCACAAGTTAAATGGCGCTTGACAAACAGGTCATGGGAGTGTTCGACGAACAGGTTAAAGGGTGTTCGACGAACAGAAACATTCAGAAAAATTTGTTTACTATTATGATGATATCAGAAGCGTTTTTTTTTTATAAGCAATTACAACGATAAACAAGGAAATAATGAACATAGTCACTTTTCCTCGTAACACCCTAACCAGCGCCAACAAATCTAAGAATCTTTATTAATCCCACCACCACTACAACTGCCACCACCGCCTTCATTGTAAGGTATAGTCATTAATAACAACAACGACAACAGCCGATCTCAATTCTCTTTGTCAGAGATCCTTCTCGTCCCCGAAGGCATTGTCATCCTAGTTGTCATCTTTGTCTCCTTAAAGTCGTCAAGGCGGTCCCTGATTTCTTTCTTTTCTCTTCCGAACCAATTCTTTTTGCCTCTTTCGTGCCTTTATCAAACCCTGCTGCCGTCACGGCGAGACACGGGGATTGGGTGGATCTAATGAGGTGACGCTAACTAAACGAAAAATAGATAAAATACAAGAGAAACGAAGAAGAATAATGATAGGGAAGAGTAAGGTGAATTCTGGTAAAACGTTGGGTGGCAAAGTGTTTGGTGGTGCAGCGTCATCATGTCAATGTTATGCATTGTATGCGAACCCCAGCCTTAGTCCTACCAGCACCCACATCCCTTACTCCATTCTGTGTTTCTGCTTGCCCCTTTTCCCTATCTGCACAGGGTTAATGTCTGTAGCACATTCCGCCGACAGAACAAAGGCATCGAAAGAATAGCACCACACAAGTGAAGTCCACCACAAGGATTCCATTGCGCCTACGAGATTCATTCAAGATGACGATAGACTTGCAGACGACTATTAAAGTCGGTCTGTCTGCTTCCCGCACTTTTTTTTTTTTTTTAAATCTCGTCCACACATAAAATTTTACCCCCTTTTTTTTTCCAGTTTTTTTTTTTATCTTTACGAGTTGCTGCATTTATCAAACTTAGTTTTACATTTTTTTTGTTCATCTCTTTGATTTTTTAAAGAGTTTATCGATATTACTTTCAAGACGCCGATCCGAATTGTCATAAATGTACTTTCTGCATTTTAAGGAGCCTTTCTTTTTTTCTCTTTCTCCTTTTTCTTTTTTTTTAAACATTCCTTCCGTTTTTTTTTTATTTCGATCCTTTCTTCTCCCTTCCCCGCTTTTTATTTGCAAGTTTCTTCCCCCTCTTTCCTTTTTTTTCTTTCATTCTTCCTGTCATCATTCATGTGCACGTCTTTACTTATTTTTCTTTTTTGTTTACGTCTTTCTTTCTTTTTTCTTCACCCTTTTTGCTCACGACTTTCTTTCTTTTTACCTTTCTATTTAATAACTATGTCTTTTTGTTGCTTCTTTTTTTTCTAACGTCTTTCTTTTTTTTTCATTTTTCCTTCCTTCTTTTCTATATTCGTCTGTCCACCCATTCTTCATCAATTCTCTTTTGTTCTTGCCGTTCTTCCTTTCTTATGTTTATCTTTTCATATTTCCGCCCTTCTTTCTTTTCTTCCTTCTTTCTTTCCCCCCTTTTCTAGCCTTTCCATCCTTTCTTCATTCTTTTTGTTTGAATCTTTCTTTCTTTCTTTCTTTCTTTCTTTCTTTCTTTCTTTCTTTCTTTCTTTCTTTTCCTTTTCATCACCTTCTTTTCTATATTCGCCTGTCCATCCATTTTTCATTAATATTTTTGTTCTCGTCTTTCTTGTCTTTATTTTTTCATATTTCTTTCTTTCTTTCTTTCTTTCTTTTCTCGTCTTTAGTTCTTTCTTCATTCTTTTTGTTTGAAACTTTCTTTCTTTTTTATTTTTCCATCTTTCCTTTTGATATCCGTTTCTCCCTCCTGTCTTTATTCCTTCTTTTTTGTTCGCGTCATTCTTTCGTTCAATTTTCGATTTTCTTCCATTTTTCTTTCCTTCCTCCATTCCTCTTCATTTGTCCGGCTGTTCTTTTCTTCCATTTCCCCCTTTTTCGCTCTGTTCTCAAATAATTCATTTTTCTCTCATTTGGTTAATTGTCTTTTTTCCCTCCCTTCCTTCCTTCCTTCCTTCCTTCCTTCCTTCCTTCCTTCCTTCCTTCCTTCCTTCCTTCCTTCCTTCCTTCCTTCCTTTTCAATATTTTTTTCGTTCTTTCTTTTTACAACACGTGTCCTCCCACGTCGTATTTCGAAATTTCCTTCTGGCAGTTTCTTTTGTCGCCTCATTATCCCCCAGCATGCAAATTTATTTTACTTCCCTGTCTTACATTACTCGCCATTTTTCCAGACCCACGCGCACATACGTCCAGCTTCAATAGACACACACACCCATACACACACCCATACACACACGGATGGTAGCACCTCCAAAAGACTTTCCTCCACACCAAACATTCCTCCAATTTTTTTTTTTACTGTGTCTTCTTTACGCAGGCACATACCTCCAACTTCTTTTTACGTATTGTTCTACCTCCGACATACGAGCGCATTTTTCTTCCTAACTTTTTTCCCTTTAATATTCCGTCTGTCCATATAAACATTCTCCAATCCTCTTCACTCTTATTTTTTTGCTATTTCTCATTCGTCCTCCCACGCAATCATCAAAGCCCCCCCCCTCTCTCTCTCTCTCTCTTCACTCAGACCCCATATCGACACAACTGTTTTCAACCTCTACTTCCCCTGACACACAATTAGGCATATTCCACTTTTCTTGTTTTGTAGCTGAACAAGGATGTTCCCCACTCTCAAATATTCATTAGTTGTCTTGCCGTCATTATCATCGTCCGTGTTATTATAGCTTGCTCTGACCCGGTCGAACCCTGGTGGAAATTAAAACAGTATTTATTCCCTTGTGGTGAATGCACATTTTTTGTTCCCGGAGTTCCCGTCTTCGTCAGGAAAAAAAAACCACGCAAGAAGAGGGAAAACAGCTCTTATAGACGGGAAGTTGGGTAAGCCGTAGCGCCTGAAAAAAAAAATGATTGTAAGAATACCTTAGAGAGTTGATTTTTGGCTTGTGTTTTTTAAGGTCTGTACATGTTCATCTATCAACATCGTCTTCATCGATCGCGGCTCTCCACAACTTCCTGTCCTTTTGTAGCACTAAGCCACATTTCACTCATTATAACATCTCCGCCTGAACTCTGAATTTTTATTTACTATTTTTCTCTCTTCAATAGGAGTAGATAGGTTCGGCTATCGCTCGGTTCACACTCCTCCCCGGTCCTTCGAACAGAAATAGAGGTTTATCCATTGATTCCTGTTTAGGGCTGGGTTTCCGGTTCCTTCTAAAGTCTACTTCAACCCTCTATCTTTAACGTTTCTGTCTAAATTTTGACATTTTATTTACTATTTGAATTTTTTAAAATTTTTCCTCAATAGGAGTCGTTAGATTCGCCTATCGTCCGTTTCTCACTCCTCTCACGTCTTTTGAACAGGAGTAGAGGTTTATTCCTTGTTTCCTGTTTAGGATTTTGTTTCTGGTTCCTTTTAAAGTCTTTTCATTCTTCTTTACTCCCAATAGCCTCTTGCGTCTTAGTGTCATTATCGCCTTGCTTGGGGAGATTTGATTTAAAAAATACCTCTTTGTATCTACTCTCACACCCATTTAGGTCCTTCCCTTAATACACACTTGTCAGAAAGTTGACTGTCATATTAGTCATTATCAGAGTACCGGGAACGATCGCGAGGTGCCTGGTCAAAAGACTGGAAGAAATTAGTTCAGTGCCAAATTTTCCAAACATTATTTCTTCATAATATGTCCCAGAAATTACGACTGTCACGTTCTGATTTTAAGTCCTTCTAGTCCCCAAATTAAATAAGAATGGAAATTTTAATATTTAAAAAATATTAATATTTTAAAAAATATTATTTAATATTTTTAAAAAATTACAAAATAAAATTGAAATTAAAATAATGTAAACGACAAAAATACATGATTTCTGCTTCCTGCATGGCAGTGAGTGATGGACGATCTCCTCAAAGATGAAGACGAAATCTGAAGCAATAGAAATGTGGTCCTACAGAAGGATGCTGAGGATATCGTAGACTGAACATGTGAGTAATGACAAAGTTTGGGAGAAAAAGGAAACAAAAAGGGAACTAATACCAGGAAGAGACAGAAGACAGTTGAGGTTTCTGGGGCATATAATGAGGAAGGGCGGCTTGGAAAATCTGATACTCACGGGACAGATAGATGTCAAGAGGGACAGGGGAAAACAACGCATGACATACTTAATGAGATTGGATAAATGGATGGCGGAACAGGAAAAATAACAGAAAGGCAAAGTTTATTAAGGGACAGGAAATCGTGAAGAGCCATGATCGCCTACATTCTGTCCTTCATACCTCTTAATAAATTGTATCTTTTTGTTATTTCCCCTAAACCTTATTCTGTCATCCACTTACTCAAGTTCACTAGGTAGGTTTTCCTCTGTCCCTCTTGCCTTCAATCTGTCTCGTGAGTGTCAGGTTTTCCAAGCCCTCCTTCCTTATTATGTATCCTAGAAATTTCAACCGACTCTTCCTGAGGTTAAGTATAAGTGTCCTTTCTGCTTCCATTATCTCTTCGTTGTTGCTTACATGTTCTCAGTATCTTTCTGTAGAACCGAATTTCTGTTGATACAAGTCTCTTCTTCTGTGAGGAGATTGCCTAGCACTCATTGCCATATAGGAGAACGGATATCATGTAACAGTTCAGTACAGTTTTCTTTGTTTATTTTGCTTCAAGTTTCTTTTTCATCTTTGAGGAGATTGTCCAGCATTCACTGCCATATAGGAGGACAGATATCACGTAACAGTTCAGTCATAAATATTACAAAGTCATGTGTTATATCTAAACCAAATCCTAAACCTACACCAATCATAACACAAAATCTGGGCAAACACATTAAACTTCCAATAAAGAACAAACTTGAAACTTAATTTACTCTACCTTCAGGTCAATGCAAAAAAATAAAAGGAGATTTTATGCAAAATAACAAGGCATATGTTTACCCTAAGCCTAAACGCATCAGTAACCCTACAACTTACACGAACCCTAAGCAAAAATAATTGAAATTGACGCAAACAACGAATCAGAAAATTTCTTTCCAATATCCTCAATTACAATAGGAAAAATATATGGAAAATTTACGCCTAATAAAAAGACATATGACCTAAAAGTTAATATCAAATGAACGCAAATCCTAGAAACTTACACCAACCCAAAAAGTAACACGAAGCAAAATCATTATAGGTCTACAAACACCAAATCAGAAAAATTAATCCTAGCCCTAACCCTAACCCTGTCGAGAAATAAACCCTAACCCTGCCGAGAAATAAATCCTAATCCTAACCCTGCCAAGAAATAAATCCTAATCCTAACCCTACCGAGAAATAAATCCTAATCCTAACGCTAACCCTGCCTAGAAATAAACCCTAACCCTAACTCTGCCGAGAAATATACCCTAACTCTAACCCTGCCGAGAAATAAACCCTAGCGCTAACCCTGTCGAGAAATAAAACCTAGCCCTAAACCTGCCGAGAAATAAACGCTAACCCTAACCCTGCCGAGAAATAAACCCTAATCTTCACCCTAACCCTGCCGAGAAATAAACCCTAATCTTAACCCAAACCCTGCCGAGAAATAAACCCTAACGCTAACCTTTGATCCCAATAAGGAAAAAAACAGAAAATTTACATATAATAAAAAAAAAAATAATTTTATTACAACCTAAACCTATCTGTTCGAGTGATTCATTTCGACAGTTAATCAACACTCAACAGGAAAATATTTTGAGATTATAAGATTTTTTTTCTTTTTGAGTTAATGGTGCTAAAAGTCGTATACATAATACACCAGCCATAAAAATAAAGTTCAGTAAAGTTCTGCCCTCTATCTTCAGCCAAATAAGAAAAATAAATGGAAAATTTATACATAATACAACTTATAATTTTACATTAACCCTTACCCTAACCTTTACCCTAACCCTTACCCTGATTCTAACCTTACCAGCAGCCGTAATCCTAACCTAAGCAAAATCATTGAACTTTCAAAATAACATCAGCCGTAAGCCTTAGCCTCGTAAAAATCATTATATCTGCAAAGAACAACAAATCTACAAAATTCTGTACGCCATCTTAATCTCAATATTAACGGAAATTTTATGCATAATATAATTGCATATTATTACCGTATCTCTAATCCTAACCCTAACCTAATTTTTGGTAACCTATTAGTAACCCCGGCCGGCATTATTATGCTCGCTATATACATCAAATCTGAACACCTCTATCCTCTTACCTGATCATATGTATAATAAATTGAATTTATTTACATAGCATCAACACATATGTTTACTCGAACCGTAAACCTAACACTTATTCCAACCCTTACACTAACCCAAGGCTCTATATACGTGCTGCTGCTGCTTCTACCGCTTCTTCTTTTTCTTCTTCCCCTCCTCTTCCTTTTCCTTCTTCTTTTCCTCCTCCTTCCTCTTCACTTCTTCTTATTTGTGCTGTGTGTCCCTTTTGGAAGTAATTGATCATGGCTCTCCACAATTTGCTTTTCTCCGTATCTTTTAATATTTCTTTTATTTTTGTTATTCCCCTCTTAAAACTTGTCCCGCCATCAATTTACTCAATCTCACTAAGTAATTTATGCGTTGTTTTTCTGTGTTCCTCTTGCTTTCAAGCTGTCCTGTGAGTGTCAGTCTTTCCAAGCCCTCCTCCCTCATTATGCGCCCTAGAAATTTCATCTCTCTGTTCCTGATATTAAGTATAAGTTTCCTTCTGTTTCCATTTTCTCTAAAACTTCATCGTTACTCAGCTATTCGGTCCCTTCTTTTGGACCACATTTCTTTTGCTTCAAGTCTCTTCTTCACCTTTGAGGAGATTGTCCAGCATTCACTGAAGAACAATTATCATGTAGCAGTTCAGTGTTTTTCTTTTTTTTTTTTTCGTTTTGAACGATTTTTTTCTGTTTCTTAATACTTTGCTTAGCTTTTGGAAGGCATCTTTCGCTATCCCAATGCACATTCGGATTTCAGTGTCTCACCTTCCATTCTCCGTGAAAACATTTCCCAGATATTTCAATTTTTGTACTTGTTTGATTTTGGCATCACCAATTTGTAATTTGCATGTTGGGCTGTCCCTTTTGCTGACAATCATGAATTATGTCTTCTTACAATTGATGGTTATTAGCTTCTTTTGTTTTTTTCTAATGTGCCTTCGCATTTCAGTGTCATATTTTCCATCCTCTGCTGAAACACTATCTAGATGTTTTAAATTGTTGTACATGTTTGATTTTGGCATCTCCAATTTGTAATTTATACGCTGAGCTGTCTCTTTTGCTAACAACCATGCATTCTGTCTTCTTGAAGTTGATGCTTAGTCCTTTCGTTCATTACCTTCTGTAAGAAAATTTCTATAGTTTTCTTTCCATGTCTGCTATCAACACTGTGCCATCTGCATATCTTATGTTATTAAGATTGTGTCCGACAATAATGAATCCTGGTAGGACTTGTAATTCTCCCAGAATTGCGTCACTGTTTTGGGTGAATTAGTCTGATAAGAAAACACATCCTTGTCTTACAACTCTTTTTATTTTAGTATATTTACTGAACTCATCTCCCTGATGTATGCAGGTGGCTTGCTATGATTGTAGGTTCTGAGTGATTCTAATATCCTTCCCAAATATACCTAACAGTCCCAAGAGTACTTTGTGACGTACTTTAACAAACCGCTTTTGCATAAATCTATAAAACACATGTACACATTCTTTTACATTGTATTGTTCTTTCTGATATCATTCTGGGCATAAAGATTGCATTCTTTGTTCCAGTGTCTTTAACTAACCCACGCTGTTCTTGTCCTAAGATTCTGATGCACGCTCCATTCATCAGAATTCGGATCATGTGTTTGAATTGTTGTATTCGTTTGACTTTTGTATCTCCAATTTGTAATTTGCATGTTTGGCTGTTCCTTTTGCTAACAACCATGGATTCTGTCTTCTTGAAGTTGATGTTTCCTTCATTATCTTCTGTAAGAAATTGTTATAGTTTTCTTTCCGTGTCTGCTATCAAGACTGTGCCATATTATGGCCACCAATAATAAATTCCCAGCTGCTTCATAGTTCGATATGTTGTCAGACGCAATTCCGTATACCGCGGTTTTAACGAATGCCTAGGGAAACAAAGAGCGAGTACGAGAAATAGTTGGGGGCACTACTACTTTATGTCAAAATGTTAGTGGGGGTGTATATTTCTCTGTAATTCGCTTATATATGGAATATGGAAAATTGTTCATTTCAGTACATCAAAAAATTATATATGAATAATGCTCTTGCTAAATATTCAGCAAAGTTCAAGTAGGAACGAAAGCAGTTAAGACAGAGCAAGAAAACTTGCTGGAAACATTCTTGGAACCCGTCTATCATAATCGTCTTCTTCCAAGAAGGCTCCTTGCTTTGAACGCCTAGTGTGATTCAAGCTCACCGCAGACCTCAAGTGGGGCTCATATATACGATCTATTGCTAAAGATGCTGGAAAAAATGGTCGGTTCCTTTTACAGCTCCAGGGTTCTCTTACTCTACAAGAACTTTGGCGTAGGAATTATGACAACGAGAGCTCTTACTCAATGCCATCACAAAGCGAAGCAACAGTATCTATCTTTACAAGAGACAGATAAGATCAAAGATGGGGTATTAGTACTATATATGGTCTGGGGCTGCCTAATCTTTACTTGACTGTCTTCAAAACCGTCTACAAGGCCTTATGGGTGATGGATTATTTTCCACCCCACAATCCCTTTCCACGGGTCTCTCGCTGCTCTATCGCTATTTCCATGGCATGTGTTCTGGCGAGCTACATTCCTTGGTCCCACAACCCCCACATCTTTACCCTTGGGACTCCCCACCATACCACGTACACAAAGATGAATCATCCCCATATTTCTTTCGTATTCCATTAGTAAGGAGAAAGTTCCATTCGAACAGATTTTTTCCAAGAACTGCTGCTTTGTTGAAAAGAGACTCCTGGCAAGATGTTTTCCCAATCACTACAATCTTAATCACTTCAAATGTAAGATTAAACGTTGACGTTCCTGTATAGCCACGTGAACTTTACTTCTTGTCTTTTCTTACCCTAGTAATAACCCCTACCTTGAGTGACACGGAAATTTCCAAAATTTGAAACAAAAATAGCCTAAAAAAACAAACATTTTCTGATATCCCTGACATCGAGAAAAACGTGACCAGCTTGTTTTTTTTAGGTTTCTTTATACTAATGTTCACCCAACACAAGGCCCACGTGCGCCCACGTTGCAACCGAATTCGACACAAAGTCAGCTTTCAATTTTGAAAATAGACAAAAGAAATCACCGACAGCTGATTCAAGTAAATAAAATGGCTGGTCTATTTTTATAGTGGATTTCCTAGCCAGGAACTCAATAACTTCAAAATCTTCATGCTTAGCAACATTATTATCCACTTGTCACGCCAGAGTTCGAGTTTTTTTTTCCTCCTCTTAACAGCTTCTAATAACCCTTTAAGCGACATACTGATTGACAGTTTGTCATTTGTGCTAACAGTTTCGCTATCAACTTCTTACATCATCATGCACATAACCTCGTCCTTTTCTTAAAATGCCAGTGCTACTAAAAAAAATAAAATAAAATAAACGATTTTTTCGTGGCACGTTCAATATAAGCCATTTTAATAGCCTAACCAAACATATTAAAGTTTAAATTGGCACTTTGGGCCATTAGACTCAATTTAAGACCAGACAACATTTCAGGCTTACGACAATATCTCACTGAAACACCGGTTCTCGTATGATCATCGAAGTTAAGCAACGTCGAGCCTGATCTGTACCTAGAAGGGTGACTACATGGGAATACTTGTAAGCTTGAATGTGCGGGTGGTGTAATGGATATCGGCTCGGAATGGGAAATCGGAGAGCTGAGTTCCAATTCCAGTCGGGTTCGTTATATTCACTTACAGGTAAATACCCTTGAGAAAGGTATAAATCCACACCTTCTCTCTCCCGCTATGATATAATTAGTAAGACTTGTATCAGAAAATAGTTATTATATATAAAAAAAAATCTTAAAATCCAAAGAAGGATTTGTAATGTAATCGATGCTAACTTGGCATCTCGACTTCAGTCACTTTCTCACCGACGTGAAATGGCTTCCCTCTGTCTTTTCTATAAATATTTTTATGGCTACTGATCTGACGAGCTCGTTCCCCTGGTGCCCTGACTATAATGGATCTAAGAGTGTTACTAGATTGGTATCAAGGTCCCCCACTTTTACTGTTGAAATAATTAAATGCAACTGCCACTTTTACTCCAACAGCTTCTTTTCTCGCACTTCCCACCTGTGGAACCCCCTTCCGTTTGCTTGCTTCCCTCATAACTATAATCATCAAAAATTTAAAAGCAACGACAATCGCCATCTTCTTGAATTTTGTTCATCTTTTGTCCTTTCCTCAATCCTCCCTATACTCTGTCTTTTCTCTCACTTTCACTCCCTGTAAAAGGTATTTTCTGGCTTTAAATATCCTGTAAAAGGCTGTTAAGCCGTAAAAAAATCAATCAATCGGACATTTTGAGAAATTACAGAAAGTCACGTGATGTAATCAGTATATATTAAATTGTCTTTAAAATGTTAATATTTTCTGGCATAAATAATCAGAAAGATATTGTTTTCAGAATATATCTACCATTTTCTCCTCTTTTTTCTTTCTCTCTCTCCTCGTCTCTCTCACTTTTTTCTTTCTTTTTTTTCTTTCTGTCATTCTTTCTTCCATTTTTTCTTTCCGCTACTCTCTCTTTCTCTCTTTCTACTATTATGTCTTTCTTTCTTCCTTACTTCCAGTCATTATTTTTTCTCTCTTTCTGCCATTCTTTCTTTTTTCTGCTATTCTTTCTTTCTCACTTTCTATGAAGCTTTCTTTCTTTCAGTCATTTTCTCTTTTTATCTCTCTTTCTGCCATTGTTTCTTTCTTTTGCCTTTCTTCCTTTCTTTCTGCCATTCTTTCTTTCTTTGTTTCTGCTATTCTTTATTTCTTTCCGCCATTCTTTCTTTCTTTTGCCTTTATTCCTTTCTTTCATTCTGCCATTCTTTCTTTCTTTCTTTTTTTCTCTCTTTCTTTCTTTTTGCTATTCTTTATTTCTTTCAGCCATTATTTCTTTCTCTCTTTCTGCCATTCTTTCTTTCTTTCCTTTTTGCTTTTCTTCCTTTCTCTCTGCCATTCTGTCTTTCTTTCTTTATTTATTTATTTCAGCCATTATTTCTTTCTCTCTTTCTACCATTCTTTCTTTCTGTCTTCCATTCTTTGTTTCTAATCAAAACCAGACAATGTATTGAGCTAGATAATTAAAGAAGGCCGGAAAATTCAACCGAAAGCAACCAAGATGTGGAAGCAAGTTAAGACTAATCAGTTTGTAACAAGTTTTGTTTTGGTGGGGGTTGGTATTTTTCCAGAGTATATTCTCTCTCTCTCTCTCTCTCTCTCTCTCTCTAATCAAAACCAGGCAATGTATCGGGTCAGACAGATAAAGAAGGCCTGAGAGAACAACGGCCGTAATGTGACGAAAGCAACCCAGATGAGGACGCAAGACGATGCATATAAATTTAAGTATGGTATTTTTGGCCGGCATTTTTTCCAGAATATATTTACCATTTTTTCAGAATATATTTCTCTCTCTCTTCTTCTCTCTCTCTCTCTCTCTCTCTCATATCAAGACCAGACAATGTATTGGGTCAGACAAATAATTAACTTTATATCAAGGCAACACTAGCAGTCTGTTCAGTTTCCGCTCGATATCTGTATTTACGTATGGCTAATGAAAATCAATGCTCCTTTAATAAAAGCGTTGTTCTGTTCTTGTTTCTTCCTGTTTCATGGTTTTCGAATCATAAGAATAAAGAATATTTCGGGAGATGTTTTACGAAAATCTAATAAAAAATTCACACCCAAATTCCTTCTACAGTTTTCATCGGTTACTTCTCAGATGTTGTAAATTATTATAAGAAGTACAGGTGGACCATCTTTCGTTTTTATCATATATATATATTAAGACATTTTTATGTTTATACGTTCTTTTTATAGATACAAATATTTAAGTAAATGCTCTGTTTATAATAAACAGTATTAATGACATTTACCGGCCTAAATGTCCGAGAAATGTTCATAAAAAATATGCGTCCTCCAACAGGAATTGAACCTGTATCCTATACGGAATGGTCATATAGCCTGACGTGCTTTTACCGATTAAGCCACAGAGGATCGTTTCGGCTAGTGAGGTCGATTTTACTGTTTTTAAACTTACAATTCTCCATGATTTTCTCTCATACATTCATATCTGCTCGACGCGTATCCAAATCTAAACAAATGACGTCACACATTAAGAAATGTACAAAGTCCAACAATTATTTTAAGACATTTTTTAAGACAAAAAATGTCTTAAAATAATTGTCGCATATTTTCTATGAAAATTTCTCGGACATTCAGGTCGGTAAATGTCATTAATACTGTTTATTATAAACAGAGCATTTACTTAAATATTTGTTTACTGTACTGTCCAGTTCGCACTCTCCATTTCATTTGAGGGCACTTGAGTCTCTGTATATTCGGTCCAGGGAGCCGTCTCTTTGCAAGCAAAGAGACTGTCTCCTTGGGCTTCACGTTATTACACTCTAGTGTCTATCATACATTCCCCTCACATTCCCCGTTATATTTTTTTCCCCTTTGTGCTGTGCATATTCGCACGGTTTGAAATATATATATATATATATATATTTTTTTTCCCTCATACCATTAATCATTTCATTTTTTAATGTTTTAATTGTATGTAGGGTGTTTGTGTGAATTAATATATATTGCAATAATTGTTAAATTGTTCCCAGTCGACCCTGATGAGCTTGGGAACGAAACCGGTTGGTCTGTTCTGTAAGTGTTATCATCTCTTATTGTTTATTTTTCATAATGCCTTTAGGAAATAATTTGTATCTATTCCTTGCAATATTACGGTTTTGTACTCCAACAATTTATTTAAATAAATAAATAAATAATTATATATATATATATATATATATATATATATATATGATTAAAACGAAAGATGGTCCACCTGTACTTCTTTATAATAATGTAATAATAATAATAATAATAATATAATAATAATAATAATAATAATAATAATAATAATAATAGGCCGAATAAGGATTTTAGGAATAAAAAGCCAACAAAATGATAACAATAAGATTGATGATATTTATTATATCTTAGCCTGTAGGGACATTATTTTTATAAATAAATAAAAATAGAATATAAAATAATAATAATAATGAATATTATAAATAAAGTAAAATAAAACAATAATATTTTAAACTTAGTTTAAAATAAACAAAAATTAAAAATAATAAAACTCTTCTAACATGCAACAAAAACTGTTCCTGACGGAAATACGGACATCCCGCCAAAGACGTTAAATTCAATCACTTCAACACGAACCCTCAAAAAGGCAACACGTGTGTAACTTCTCTCTGCGATATGACGTGTTATAATACGGAGTAGCTTCTCCTTTTTATCACATGTACCATAAAACAAGTGTAGAGTAAAAATACGCACACCAATACACACAAAAATATAAATAACTTGTATGAAAGTAACATACAATTTACTACGCTTTCCTGTTATTTCTGTACGTTCTATTCCCTGTCGAGTATGTTTTACCTCCGCGAACACGAGGCTAATTTCTGCTGCTTCGATGAGAATAACCACCCACATCATTTGGTGACCATCAATGTGCATAACAACAAAACAACCTATTCTCCTGAATCATTTGTTGACTCCCAACATGTATAAAAACAAACTACATCATTTATTTTAGTGACCGATGTTTAAAAAAATATTATTCTCCACATTATTTTGGTAACGCGACGTGTACAAGAGAAACCTTCCTATTCACCACGTCGTTTGGCGACTACCAATGTACAAAAAAATCTTATTATTATTGCTGGGGGAGAAAAAAGGATTCATACCTTTCCCAAGGGTTTTAGAACATAACGGAATGTAATGGATTCGACTGGAATTCAAATGCGGCTCTCCGATTTCGGCATTAAATAACCTATTGAGGTTGATAAGCCGTAAAACAAAAAACAAACATAATTCTCGGCTATTTTTAATAAAGACAACATTACAACAAGGAGTCAGTCGTTTTCTGTAACGAAAGAATAAGCCAACCATTTTTCCACCAAATTCAGAAATTGATCGTATATATGAGTTGCTATTGATATTTGGAGTCAACTTGAGTCTCAATAGACATTCAAAGGTGTAGAGCCAGAGAGAGTGTGCAAACTTACATCTTCATTGAAGAAATCTCAGAGTCCGAAAGCTGTTAATGGAATTAGACTAGCATGGGTTTTACGGTACTGTAAGTTTTAGAGCTATTATATCAGAAGAGATACCAGCTTCCAAGGAAAGATTCTTCAAAAGAACAAAGAACTTGTAGCGGCAAAAAGAAAAGTGAATTTATGCAGACAGATAATTGTGGTGTCGGGTCTCCAAACAAAAGTAGTTGTCAACTTTTTTCCTAACTTCAATAGTTAAGATAGAATTTCCTCATTCTTGAAGAGTGGGTCGCCCAAAACGAAGAATTTACTTTGAGAAGTCTTAAGATTGAGGGTAGAGTCTGGGGTACTCGGGGTTTCTGATGAATGATTTTTGCTTCCCAATTAATCACTTCCCACGCGAAGACAAATTTGGTTTGTCACGCCCCTGTCCGCCATACACATTGATACTACGTGATTCTATTGACTCATTTCTCCTTTGCTCGCTCACCGCCCGCGCCATTCAAATAATCGAAATCTCGCTGCTTACGTTATCTGAGCAAACATTTTCGGCCAATCAGAAAATGTCAGCCAGAAAGAATTCTTGTCACATTCTTTAGCATTCCATAAAAATTATGCCATGGGTTCTGAGTTGGCAAAAATTAAAATTATTTTTTGAAATTCGTTAATTAAGATCTCAAGAAAAAGGGACCATCTCTCCCGAAGAAAGAGAGACAGAAATGTTCTTCGGAAAAGCGATTAGTATTCAGTAAGTTACAGGGAGTGAAAATGAGAGAAAAGACAGAGTATAGGGAGGATTGAGGAAAGGACAAAAGATCAAGATTCAAGAAGACTGCGATTGTCTTTGCATTTAAATTTTTGATGATTATAGTTATGAGGGAAGCAAGTAAACGGAAGGGGGTTCCACAGGTGGGAAGTGCGAGAAAAGAAGCTGTTGGAGTAAAAGTGGTAGTTGCATTTAATTATTTCAACAGTAAATGTGGGGGACCTTGATACCAATCTAATAGCACGCTTAGATCCATTATAGTCAGGGCACCAGGGAAACAAGCTCGTCAGAGCAGTAGCCATGAAAATATTTATAGAAAAGACAGAGGGAAGCCATGTCATGTCGGTGAGAAAGTGACTGAAGTCGATATGCCAAGTCAGGATCGATTACATTACAGATCCTTCTCTGGATTCTGTCAAGAACCATGAGATGAACAACAGAAGCACCAGACCAGATATGGCAACAGTATTCAATGCACGGGCGAATGGTAGATTTGTAAATGTGCAAGATAGACTCTGACGAGAAAAATTTTCTGGCACGACACAGTGACCCAACTTCCTTGCAGTAGATAACTGAAAGTAACTGAGAGTAACCGAGGGAGTATTGGAGTGAATAAAATATAAAATCAAATATGAAAGAATCAGGGCACATGTCATTCATTAGTACGCACGGGTTATCATTGGTCGACACCTTCACTTTATTACAAAGTTTTGCAGACTCAAATCTAAACTCAACAAATGCTTACCCATAGACTCAAGTATAAAGACGATTAATGTTTTTTCCATAGTCTCAAGTATAAGGACGACATATGTTTTCCCATAGTCTCAAGTATAAAGACGAGATATGTTTTCCCATAGGCTCAAGTATAAAGACGACTAATGTTTTCTTATAGGCTCAAGTATAAACCCGTCCATTGTTTAACCATAGAATCAAGTATAAATCCAACTATCGACATAAGTCTGACTAATGTTTATTTTTTGATTTAAGTATAAGCCTGACCAATTTTAACCTATCGCCTCAAGTTTAAACCCGACCAAACATGAGCTGCGTGAGATGAATGAAAGGGCATCTGGTAGGAAGTGAAGATTATGAGGATAAGGAGGATAGATGACGATCGAAAGTTGACTTGAAGAGGTTAAGATTGTATATTAAAGGAAGCATCCTCACGTAAGTCTACTGTATTCGTTTTGTTTGGTTTCCGCACGTCGAGAGCGCCTCTGTATTTACCTACCACCCCACGAGACAGGATGCGGCACCAGGCAATTTTTATGTGAAGAAATCCTAGCTCGTAAGCTCGGTCAAAAATTGCCTGTAGACCTCGAATATACGGGGTCGGGTAGCTGTCTACCTCCCTGGAGGACACTCTACCCTTCGGCATAGCCTCGTCCGGGTTTTTTTTTTTTTCTTCTTCTTCTTCTTCTTCTTCTTCTTCTTCTTCGGTAGAGCGGTCGACAAGTAAAGCCTCTCTACGTTAAGAGCGCCCCTCCTCAACTGAGAAAAACCTTGGTGTTATATAGCCCTCTCAGTCCTAGACCCACGCTGACTATTGGCTAATACCTGCCTAGTATCGTTCATATGCAAATAGTCTGCGCCACCTACTCTAAATAGAAGGTCTTCTCTCAACATAAGGAAGGAGACGCAACTCCTAGGGCTTACAGCAACACATACAACCAACTGGGAGTCTTTTATCGGGTTGATCCGATTCTCTGTTACATGTACAAATTAGTAATTCTCAAGGAAAAGCTATCTGAGTAGATAGTTCCTCCTTACAAGTGGAATACGAAAGAAATGAGGACGAGTCGACTACGAGTGGACGTAGCGTTAGTTTTAGTCTATTGGTTTTAATTGAATAATATTGGTTTTAATTGAATAATATTGGTTTTCTATATCTTTTTTTTTTTTGTTATTTATTACCCCGTTGTTATTCCATTGTTTTCCTGCCTTGTTTTATATTGATACAATCATTATCGTGTTGTGTTTACTGTTTTTTTTTTCACGCTTTCTTAATAATGTTACTATTGTCTGCGATCTTAATGATATTACGATCAATTTGATTATCGACGTTATTAATATTAATTATCATTGTTTATCTGAAGACTCCGGGCTTTGTCCTCATCAAAAGTCGTCTTTTGATAAAGCATCAGGGCCGTGACTGTTAATAGGGAAGCGGCCATAAGGAGGAGGCTTGTCGGCATTGAATATCGATTCTTTAACTCTTTTTGAATTGGGATTTTATTCTTTTTCTCGGAGCTCGAGATGAAAGGCTTGAAAAGTGAGAATGGGAGGAGGATGGGGTGATAATTAAGCGGTTATCAGTATGAGATGAAGAAGAGAAAGAAAGATATGAAGGAAAAACTAGAAATAAAAGAAAAGTGGGGTTAAAGGGGACAAAAGAAAAAAAAGGCAAAATGAGGCAAAAAAGAATACGAGAAAAAGGAAGACGAAAAGGAAAAAGAATAAATAGGAAGAAAAAGACAAAGACTAGAAAAATAAAAAAAAGCAATGACATGAAAAAGAGGAGAGAAGGGTGTGTAAGAAAGGAACAAAGATAAAAGAGGGAGTGAAAAAGAAGAGAAGAATAAAAATGATGTAAAAGGAGGGAAGATGAAGAAAAAAGAAAACGAAAAAACAAAAAGAATGGTTTAGTAAGAATAATGTACACTATTTACATTGTTTGTTATGTTAGGTTTAATTTTTAATGGAGGCAGAGATGGATTGTAAATCTTCTTTATAATTATATCAATCGTTTCTCTAATTGAGACATTGTTAGATAAACTTTCAACCTCAAGTGAGGCTATGAATTTATTATTAGGTTTTTGTGTTTTTAGGATTTCGATTAGTTCATGAGTTGATTTAATACTGTATTTATTACGTAAGTAATTGATAAAACAGAGTGGGGATTAGGGATATGAAAAGACGGAAAGTGAAGTTAGGTTTATGTATTTTTATACTTCCATACATGTATCCAGGTTTGCAGTTACCATTTATATTGGACGTTCTATATTGTCTTGTTCTACATTGTTGGCTGTGATTAGTTCGTTTATTTTCAATTTCAGTTGGTTATTAGGATTTTTGTTGACTTTTAAAAATTTACACTATTTACATTGTTCGAACTATCATCCACATCTTTGTTGTCATATTTATTACAACGTTTCGGCCGTTGTACGCTCCGGCCTTCTTCAGGTGGTTGGAATGTCGAACTGAACCCTTTATTTGGCTCGCTGGGGTAGACTGTTCTAGTTCCACCTACCATGTCTAATGGATGTCAGTTATCACTTATCTCCTGTTAATTCCCGTCTCCAAGTTCTCCATCGTCTTAACCAGGTATTGAACTCAGACTCTTTGGGTCCTGTCACTGGATCTAACTAACGCCTTTATCCACTGCCATGTGTCCTTGAGAATAATGGTTTAATAAGAAAAATGGTTCAGTAAGAATAATGGTTTAATAAGAATAATGGCTTAATAAGAATAATGGTTTAGTAAGAATAACGGTTTAATAATAATAATAGTTTAGTAAGAAGGGAAAGAATAAAGGGCGTGTGCAAAACGAAACAAAAATAAAAGAGAGGTGAGGAAGAAGAAAATAAGAAACTAAAAATGATATGAAAGAAATGGAAAGAGAAAAAAGAGAAGGATAAAGCTGAAGAGGAATGAGTAATAAAAAAAGAACGTCGAAAAGAAAAGAAAGAGTAGATAAAAAGAAAGAAAAGAAAGGGGAAATAAAAAGAAAAGAAAAGAAAGAGGAGGCAAAAAGAAATCAAAGAAAGCAGACACAAAAAAGTAAGGGGAGATAAAAAGCAAGTGGAGATAAAAAGAAAGAAAAGAAAGGGGAAATAAAAAGAAAGAAAAAGAGAAGGTAAAACAAATAAAAGAAAGGTGAGGGGAAAAAGAAAGGGAGAATAAAAAGAAAGAAAAGTAAGGGGAGACGAAACGAATAAAAGAAAGGGGGATAAAAAGCAAGGGAAAACAAAAAGAAAGAAAAGAAATGGGAAGTGAAAAGAAAGAAAAAGGGGAGGCAAAACAAAGCAAAGAAAGGGGAGGCAAAAAGAAAGAAAAGAAAGGGTAGATAAAAAAGAAAAGAAAACGGAAATAAAAAGAAATTAAAGAAAGATAGCATAAAAAGAAAAACTATCAAATGGGGAAAGAAAAGAACGAACTAAAAAACAAAGAAGAAAAAATACAGAGAAACCTCTCATTTACGGACCATCACCTCACCCTCCGGAGTCCGTTGATTGGGGATCAACGGACCGGATACAACAGACAAAATCTGCTGGGAAAATAAAAAAAAAACCGTCCAAATCATCAGCGATGTATTTCAAAATTTGTGGGCTTAGTGGAACGAGTAGTATTAGTTCTCAAAGTAACCGCTTGGCGGTGGAAGATGTCCTTTCAATGGTAAACAAAGACAGAAAGTACGATACATTAGCCCGTGCATGAGAAAGTCGCCGTGAGAAATCTATTATTTTTGTTATTTTGGTTAATATATTGATTGTTCTACTCTCATCATGACATCGAAGCAGAAGGAAAGTGTAAAAATGAAGTGTACAAAACCAAGTGACAAATTAGAGCTTCTTCCGTCTACGGACAATCGGCTTTAACGGACCCCCCCTCTACTAGTCCGTTGATGAGAGGTTTGTCTGTCCAGGCAAATAAAGAAAATCTATCCTCGGTAATCCGGCACCCTCAGTACTCTAGACATTTTTAATAATGACATCTTCAAGAAAGCGAAAAAAAGCATAGGAAATTGTGGAGAGCCATGATCATACAACAGTCATCTTTAACAAGTTTCTGACATGGTCAAAGGGACGGGAGTCGTTCAAAAAGTTCTAAGCCTTACGCAGAAGGAGTTGGAGAAACAAGATAGTTTTTCACTACTTTTCGGTATGATCCCCCATAGCATCAATGCACATGGTCAACGATGCTTAACCATTGCAATCCCATCACAGAAGAAAGTGGTGTCCTGGTCCTCCAAAAACCCCTCCACAGCACATATGATGTCATTATTTTTTTTCAAAATAGCGATCAAGCAGGTGGAATTTGAATTTAGAAAACAGGAAGAAGTCAGATGGAGTTGAGTCTGGTGAGTAAGGGGGTTGTGGTATCAATTCAAAGCCAGAGTTGGCTAATTCAACCACTACAACCTGAGCAGTGGGAAACGGGTGGGTTATTCTGGAGCGTACCTACCCTCAGCTTCCCTCTCCTTTTCGACTTGATTGCTTCATTCAGTTGTCTTAATTCTGAGGCATACTATTGTCCATTAGTATTATTTTCCTTTTCCCAGATCTATCATGGTTACGCCTACAGAATCAAAAAAAAAAAAAAAAAAAAAACAGAAGCCAACAGACGCTGCCTGCTTGAATTTCTTTAGATTGGTTACGTGACATTAATCCTTCTTTACGGCAGCGAATGTTGGACAATTTCCTCAAAAATGAAGAAAAGACTCGAGGCAACAGAGATATGCTTTTACAGAAGGTTACTAAGGATACCATGGACCTAGCGTGTGAGCAATGATGAGATCTTAGAGAGGTTGCAAAAAAGGAGGAGGCTTATACTTAATATCAGGAAGAGGCAGCTGAATTTCCTGGGACACATAATGAAGAAGGAGAGTCTGGAGAATCTGATACTCACGGGTCGAATAAAGGGAAAGAGTGACAAGGGAAAACAATGCCTGACATATCTAGCGGACTTAAGCAAGTGGATGACAAAACGTGGTTTGGGGGAGGTAGCAGAGAGAAGGGATTTGCTGAGAGCTGCAAGAGATAGAGGGAGGTGGAGAGCCATGATCGTCTACGTCCTGAAAGGACATGGAACATAAAAAGAAAGAAAAGACTAGATTGGCGGCAAGATCTAATCATTATATGGGTGACTAGATGTAACCGTAACATGTAACCGTAAGTTCTCTGCTTGCGGTGAAGTAATTAACAGTTTCTTCTCTCGCACTTCTCGCTTGTGGAACTCTCGTCTGGTTTCTTGCTTTCCAGTTAAGGTTAATCTTCAACCAGAGTGTTTCCACTGTTTGCTTTTAATCTTTGATTCAAGTTCGAAGTAGTGAAGCCATGTTTCTTCATTAGTTACTAATCTGCGGTGGAATGTCTCAGCGTTGTCCTGGAAGCAAGTCAGAGGTGTTCTGGAAATATCAAACCTTTTCAGCTTCTGCTCTGGTGTCAGCATTCTTGGGGCCCATCTTGCAGACATCTTGCACATCCCCAAGATCTCAATTAAAACAGTATGGACCGAACCAAAAGTAATTCCGAAAACCATACGGTGAATGACATCAACTTGTTGAGGCTTCCGGACGACCTGACCGAGGGTCATCTTCAGTGCTGTCCTACTCCTCTTGAAATCCGTAGCCCACGTCTTCACAGCCGCATACGAAGGGGAATCCTCGGCAAGTGTCTATACTATGTCCTCATGGATTTCCTTGGGTGTCATACCTTTCTTTAGCAGATACTTTATATCTGCTCGGGTCTCTGTTTTGTCCATTTTTATATTTATCGCACACCTCTCAATTTTGTGTGGGCCTCACCAGTAATCTGAATTAGTTTTTCTAGTTTTATAAGAAGTGATTTATGTTGGCACAACAAAAATGTTCACCTGTGGCTCTTTTTTTCTGGGTGGGGCTTAGAACTATTTTTAACGACCCTCATAATTATCTATCTTTTCACTTTCTTTCAGATCTACTCTGTAGTCTGCCATGACAGCGAATCCACAATGCCATCTTTTCTTCTTGCTTGCTGATTTCTGATATGCTCTCCTTGTCGGGATTCAGTGGTCCGTTTGAATATTATAGTTCTCTCAGATTTTGTGTATTTCATACTCTTGGACAAATTCTGGTCAGTGCAAATACCGTTTATTTTGTACGGTCAAAATAGACATTTTCACAATTCCTAGGGGATAATCTTTCCTACCCAGTCATGTCTACTTTATTGTATTCTTTCTGAATTAATTTGCTATAGTAATTTTCCAAGCGTAGCTTAGATGTGGCACAAGGCCGAAAGTAGAGAGCACCCAGTGAGGATCGAACTCACTACTCAGTCGTAATCGTTTATCGAGACAAGCTTGCAAACCATTACACCGCCTCGAAGTGCCCAAATTAATTTGCAAAAAAATGTTAGTGTATTTATTATTCTCTTTTTTCATAAAAAACTTGTCCATATTTGTAAAACGTTCAGATAAAAGAATAGACGGGCAACTGTAGCGGACAGAGGGTTTACGTGTTGTTAAATTAGGAACACGTGTGTTTATTCTTGCTAGAAGAAGGTTTACTACAAGAACATGGCGGATTTAGAGATTGAATCCACCATAAAAAAGCGTAAAGAAAACCGATATATAGATAGAAACAAGTATATGTATTAACAAAATTTACAAAGGACATAAACATTAACATTTGTGTTTGTGTGTGAACGTAAAGAGTTTGTATTTTAGTAAATGTTCGTACGTACGTGTATGTGTGTTTCATGGCGTTTTCCCACAAGTGGGCAAAACGCCGATCTCTGCGAGAGATCACTTTTTGTAAATGTGTCCGCTGAAATGCAAAGTAAAAAGAGAACGAGGCAAGAAATCACCCAGTATTTATAGTGTAGGGAGAGCGTCTTCTAGTGAACAATTTGGACAATTAAGGAAGAGTTAACACCGACACAACAACTGTTGGAAGGGGTAAGGGAGAGAATAAGAAGATACAGGCAAATGATGAGAGAAGGACAGAGATAATGAATAATCTTATCAAAAACTTACGGAATTTTCACTGGTTGAGTTTGTGTATATATTATTCCTATAATAGTACTATAATAATATTATTCCCATAATAATCCTATAATAATATTATGTTCTTCTTGCAAAGCATCCGTTAAATATTCCTTAAACCTTTCACAAAAAGAAGAACCTAGAAGTACAATGTTATTACTCATATTTAACAGATGATTTATCGTATTTTCCGGCTGACAAGACGCACTTTTTTTCTTAAAAATCCCTGAATATATATATATATATATATATATATATATATATATATATATATATGTATGTATGTGTGTATGTGGGGGGTGTACACACACACACACACACACACACACACACACATATATATATATATATATATATATATATTAGTTACCTCCCAAAATCGAAAAAAATCAGTATATGTAATGAAAACATAGTAAAATCGGACCCTGTCTTATCGAACATCTGTTCTGAACCGAAAATTTTTAAAAAGTCAGTCAGTTATGTGCTATGCGTGACACACGCTTAGGCAATCATGTATCTTTCGATACATGACTGATGAGGCTCCCGCAGTAGGTTACAATTTTTTTCTTTGCAATCCAAGGCAACAGGTCTGTCCTGCTATTTACCCATACCTGGGTGGTGGGAGAAGAGGATTCATATCTTTCCCAAAGTATCAGCACGTAAGTGAATCTAACGGATTCGCCTAGAATTTGAACTCGGCTCTTCGATTCCTCAATCCGAGTCGCTATCCATTAGCTCAGCCGTGCCTCCTCTTCAATTAAAAACATTATTTAATTAGAGAAGTTTTTAATTGATTTTATGAATAATATATATTAAAGACAGCATTGTCTAAAGAAAAAAATTTCGATGAAAAATGAATTTTTTACAAGATTTGTTTTCATTTTTTACAATTTTAAAGTTTTAAATATTTTAAATTTCAGTTTCGTTGTTCAAACTGTCAGAAAATATTGCTATCAAATAAAAGACTATAACACTATATTTACTAATCATATATCGTGTAAAACTTATTTTTCCAAGACGAATGTAAGGCAACGCCCAGGCTCAAGTAAGTTTGGACGGTCACCTAATTGGCTTGACTTACAGGGACGTGGATTTGCATGTTGAATCATTACATTAAGCTATCTATCTAATTCAGCCTTTATGATGCAACCTCAGTACTTAGCTGTTACAAGTATTTCCAAGACTATAAAACTTCCTAGAGCTAAGACACAAGCTTAAACATAGTCTGTTTACTAGCAGCAGCAGGAGCCTTTCTACTCTTGACTAGTATATCATTGCCATACAAACAAAATTGGACGAGTGATTAATGTAAACAATATATGGCACCAGTATTTGAGGGACGTATGGTGAATGTGTTGTATAAGAATGATTTGTTTTTTCTTAGAAATTTCTTTCCAGTATTAGGGTGCGTCTTCCAAACTACAGCGTCTTGTAAGCCGGAAAATATGGTAATTATGTTCCACA